TGCTTTGAGAGGAATGTTTGACTCAGTCACCTCTGGAGGTCCTTTCTGAATGAAATTATTCATATTTATGTATGCTGAATTTCCTTGTTTCTTCCTTTTTTGATGTAGAAAATGAAAAAAATGTACTAGCATAAGTAACAATAAGTGTGTACACACATGTGTGCATTCACTAGCCACAAGAAGACTAAAAGGAATATCATGAACAAAATAAGAAAAGAGTAATTCCCTGAATTAGAAATAAGGCTTAAAAACACAGTAACTGAGATTTAGATCAGTTGCTAAGAAAAACTTTCTAATGACAAAGAGAGTGTTACAGAGATAGACTGCCTAGAATTTTTTTAAAACAAATTTGATGAACATTTGTCAGTACTGATTTAAATACATTCAAACAGAATGGACTGGCTTAAGTACATTTCTGAAGTCCCTTCTGATTTTGGCCTGATCTATGTTTTGGACCAGGTATTAATTTTTTTTCTTGCTAGACAATACTATGATACAACAATTCTATGTATACCTAAGTCAAAAAAGCACTTTATTAAAAGTGATTTTTACCATGTTAGAATTCTAAATCTTCAAAAGACATAAAGGTACTTCATTTGATAAATAACTCTGTTTCCTGGAGTACATCCCCTTGTATTGGACACTGCACAACCAGAAAGGAAAGAGCCTCTTATTTTTTTCATGATCTGCACTGGAAAATGTCTGTACTCTTTGGAGTTGAATGAGTTGCCCCCGTGTGAACGAAAAGGGTCACAGGAACCCCCTTACAGAATTGGGAATAGAATTTATGATTAAAAAAAACCCCACATGGTTTTTCTAAACCTTTCAATAACTAAAAGACCATGACCAGTAATTTTACTTCTGGTAAAATGATTACTTGGCCTTATCAGAAGTGTTTGCTGCAATCAGAAACACGCCCTTAGAATTACAGGGAACAGGGAGTGTATCCTAAGCCAAAAGCTATTGTGGAGCCACAGCAATCTTCCAAATACAGCATGTGTTTACCTTCTATGAAAATGCAGTTCCATCTCTGTGCTAGTTTGCTAGCTAACATTTTCTTTCCAGAACCCTTAAAATGAAAAATACACTTTTAAAAGAAAAACAGACAGAACAAAACCAAACATATAACACAACGAAGAATATATTTTCACATGATAAAAACACTGAAAATCTACCATTGGGATTAGGGCCTCTGAGTTACGCATTGGGCAAACACAAAGCACTCTGTTTAATACCATCCTCTAGTTCATATTGTCTAGCATTGCTAATATGCTGCTAGTTGTAGCTAATTATCTCCAAAGCTGTTATACTGAGTTTGTATCTGAGTAACTCTGTCTAAAACTCAGCCATGATTTGACCACAAATTTCTATGAGAAACTCCTTAGGACTAAAATTTATCATCTTCAGCCTCAAAGCAAATTATGATGGAAACCTACTCAACCCCTTCTGAGTAGGATACATCAGGATAATATTTTTTTACTAAAACAACAAATGCTTTAAAACTGCCCTTGTTAGTCCATAAATCTGGTTAGATACTGACAAAATCTTTCTTAATTACATGAATCCAGAGGAAAACCAACACAACTGAGAGCTATAAGGCTTCCAAGAGTGATTAACTGAATGGGAATTTGCAAAACTCAGCGCCTGCCACCTTAAGGAGACCTGTTTTGACAGTTTTTTGTCCTTGATAAGTTTTTTGATAAAAACAGTAAAACCCAACAAATAAATTACATTCTCGGTTAAGAATGTATCAACAAACACTCCAGCCTACTAATACCTTACATCTTACAGGTGTGATGAGAATATATGTATTTGGCTTTGCTTTAATGGCACTATGTTTTTAATTTAAAAGATACATCTTAAATAGGATAGTTACTCTGCACATCAGTCAGATATATAAGAGACATTACCATAAAAATAAACTGTTTTGTTCCCTGCTTTCCCGGTAAGGTCTGTACAATTTCAATACCTTCTTATATTGATGTCAAGCATCTACTGAAGGCAATGGTTGAGAATATGAGAATTTTTTGTACTGTCTTTCAATGAGCATTTTATGGTGGTTTGGTCTATGAAACATAAAGTGACCTTTTTCATGCAAGGTTAAAATTTTGATGTTCATTTGAAACTAGAGGAGTTAGTTCACTGTAGTTTTCTGTTGAGCTGAGTGTACCCTTACAAGTGCACAAGACACAAACTTGTATAAAAATAAAAAAAACACTCTTCAGCAAACTGAGGCAATAACGCAAACTCACATTTGGAGGAAAAAAAAAATCTGAAAAGCTTAGGTTTACAAAACATAAAATTTTTCTAAGTTAAGGAGGCCACTAATTAGTTGACCTTGAATTATAGTTAAAAGGCAGTACAGATCCTTTTATCAGGATACCTTGGTGGATTTTAAATGTTTCTAAATATATAGGATAGAATTTTGTCAAAGTTAATATTGAGATCTGTAATGTTTCATTGAATGTCTGTAAGTCAATACATTGACCTGAAGGTTCTTTTACACCAAATTATGACTTTAATATATCAAGTTTATTTTAAAAAATAAAATATTTTAATAGCATTGCTCTGGTTTTGGCTGGGGCAGAGTTAACTTTTTTCACAGTAGCTAGTGTGGGGCTGTGTTTTGGATTTGTGCTGAAAAAAAGTGTCGGTAACACAGAGGTGTTTCTGTTGCTGCTGAGCAGGGCTTACACAGAGCCAAGGCCTTTCCTGCTTGCCATACTGCCACACTGGTGAGGAAATGAGGGTGGACGGTGGCTGGGAGGGAACACAGCTGGGACAGATGACTCTGACTGACACACAGTGATGTTCCAAAGCACATGGTGTCACACTCAGCATATAAAGCTGGGAAAGAGAAGGAAAGGGAAGTACTTTTGGAGTGACAGCATTTATTTTCCCAAGTCACCGTGAAGTGTGATGGAGCCCTGGTTCCTGGGGATGGCTGAACATCTGCCTGCCCATAGGAAGTAGTGAATGAATTCCTTCTTTTGATTTGCTCATGTGCATGGCTTTTGTCAACCCATGCATTTTATCCCTTTTACCCTTCTGATTCTCTGTGCTACCCCACCAGGGTGAGTGAGTGAGCAAAAGGCTGTGTGGGGTTTGCTTGCTGACTGGGGTTAAACCACTACATATAAATAAACATACAATAAAAACGATCAAACATTTTGAGCAACGTGTAACTTTTAAGTACAGTAATAACATTTTTAACCACAATTGACTGAAGGCAAAAATTGGTCTCATTAAATGAGACCAGAATTTTTACCATCCTCTGCAGGATTTGAAGAGTGGCAAAATCCAAAAAGCAGGTATTTGACCCTTTTGGTAGCACTGGTAAACTAATGTTTTGAAAGGAAAAGTTAAATTGTTAGCAGAATATCTGACAAAAACCCTTCTATCAGACATCTTACTGGCTTTCCAAAGACAATTAAGCAAATGGGCTTGGACAACAGAAAACATCTTTCAGCTTCATCTTCATCAAAGATGTCTGTAAAGGGCTGATCTTGTTTTCCCTCTAGTGAAGCCATGTTTTCTAAGGCTAGAAGGAAAAAAAGAATTTGTTATAAAGTACAGTAGTTACATGTGTGTAAAATGACTTTAAAATGGAAGTGAATTACAAGGTAAATGGATCTGTAAAAAAGAAAGTTTTTATAAGAAGAAAAAGCATTTACAGAACATACACAATGCACGCATAAAATAAGAGAAAAATCCACTTATGAAAAACAAAGGACTGTTGGAAAAACCCCTGATCACAAGCTGTTGATGACTTCTTCATGAGTCTCATATTGCTTGTTGCTCTTTTTTAGTTGTTTTGTTGATCTTTCCTTCCTGCTTCAATTACCACACAACTGTGACTTCTCTCTCATCCCTGAAATGGGCCATGGGCCTGCCTAGACCTTTGGTTTTGTGCTTCAGACACCGAAGGGCCCTGTCATGGTCAATGGAACTACTCTCTGTGTCCACACAGGCAGGTACACAAATAAGACTCTGCAGAATTAAATCACAGTTCTTGATCTCTTCCACCATCTTCTTCACAAATCCCAGCTCTTCCAGGAATGCAGGCAGCAGCAAGTCCAGTGCTGCACAACAAATTAAAACCTAAACAAATTTCTAATTAAGATAAATTGGAGGAAAATTTGTGTGGGCCTTTCAAACAAAAATGGAGGCCAAAACATGAGGAGCTTGCTGAAGTTTGTTTGAAAATGGCAAAACCCCACTGTCTTTAGAGGGCCACTTCAGTGTCACAGCCCCAGCAAAACCCACATGGAACCACCCAACCCAGCACAGCCCCGCGCAACTCCCAGTCAGTTTACCATTAAATTAAACAAATCAACTAAAATCTGAGAATCTGAAAAAGTTTGTCTTGAAACATCAAACCCAAATGCTAAGACGCTTTTGCATCAAACATTTTAATATTAAAGAAAGAAAAAAGCCATACATGCGAACGAACTCCCCATTGCCCCGACAGAAACTCACCGGCTGAGCTTTACCTGCCCTTCCCAGCAGTCTCACTCGCTCCCAAACCTTCACAAGGGCCAATTTCCTAATTCACAAAAACCACCACAACCCAAGCGAAGAATTAAACCAGACACACACATACACAGCCCTCTACCCAGGACGATATCCCGGTGGGAGCCCCCCTCCCGGTGGGAGCCCGGTCGTGCGCGCCCCCGCTGCCGCCACCGCTCTGCGCGGCCCCGCTGCCCGGGCAACGGCGGCGCCCCGCCCCCTGAGGGAGGGAGAGGCAGAGGCCCCGCCTCACACAGGGGCGTGGGCGGGGCTGCGGAGCTGTTCCTGGTGCTGACCGTGCTCACCCCGCGGGGAGCGGTTTCCGGCGGGAGCAGCGAGTGCGGATGCGACACCGCCTCGTCCTCGCCCGCCCCGGTGTCCCGGTGTCCCGGTGTCCCGGTGCCCCGGTGTCCCGGTGTCCCGCTACCGCTGCCGCCGCGCCCGGAGCCGCCGTTGCCGAGAGGCCGCGCGTGACGCGGCTCCGCGACGCAGGCGCGCTCTCGCGGCCCCCGGTGGGCGCGCCTGCGCGTTGGCGCGCCGGCACTTCCGGGTTGCCTCGGTGCCGGCGGTGGTTCCCCGCTCGGACCCGGAGTGTTCCTCCCCCGGCTCCGGCTGTTCCCGGGGTGTTCCCGGGCAGCTCCCGCCATGCCGGTGGCGGCCGCCGCCCCCCTGATCAGCTCCGTGCAGAAGCTGGTGCTGTACGAGACCAGGGCTGTAAGTAGCGTCCCCCCGCCGCCGGCGGCGGTCCCGGGGCTGCGGCCGCCGCCCAGCGCGGAGGGATGTCCCGGCACCCCCCGGCGTGTTGGCTCGGCCCTGCCCGGAGCTGCTGCCTCGGCTGGGTTGCAGCTTGTCAAAAACTACGCCTTACCTTTCTTTTCTGTGTTGGGATCTGGTTCTTTTTGGTCACACGCTCAAAACATGCCAAGAACTGAGAAAAAGAAGGTTTAAAGGTTCCTGTTTTCGCTGTGTGTCTGCCTCGTGGCTTAAGCGGAGCAGTGGCCTCTGGGGGCAGGTCAGCGCAGGGCCCTGCGGTGGGGATGAAGGTTGGGCCCCTGCTTGTTCTGTCCTGTGGCTGCTGTCACACTGCCAGGAGAGCAGGGCGCTTAAAACTGGACCGCTGAAGGTGTCCGGAATTAATATTTGAATTAAGAATGGCTGAATTGGTTATCACCTGCACCGACCTGTTTGCTCTTTATGACACACTTCAGTCCTCGCTGTCTGAATGACTGGTGAAACAGTTTCTGAAGTTTTCGGTCTGACCTCTGGAAGTAAGCTCTTGAAGATTTTCAGCATTCCTTACGTCCTGTTGTAGAATCTATAGGCATGTGTTATTCACATGACTTTTTTGTCATGGACAAAGTGGATTGGAGGTTGGAGTGGTAATTGCTGCTTTAGCCATGTGATGAGCACAGTGTGAGCCAGAAGCCAATTCTTGGTGTAAATACCACTGTGTTTACCATTCCTTAGCTCCCAATCAGATTTCTTTCTGTTTCATAGTATGTTGGTTTCTTCACTTGAGGTAGTTTTTGAAAGGTTTATGTACCATGGCTCTAAATGCAGGTTAGGTCTAGTTTCAAGTTCAGCTGTTACCTGTACTGTTAACACAAAGATCATTTACACACTGAAGCCCCTTGGAAGCTTCCCAAAATGTCACAGATGAAAGAATGATCTCAGTATAAATAGAAATCTGACTTCCAGCTCTGCTTCTGTCTGAAGCAGATTTGTGTTTTTGTCATAATTCCCCACTGAACAGCCTATGAAACAGATGCAGATTAAAGTATGCAGAGTTATTTTTATAAGTAAATTTTAAAAATGAAGGTTACACTCCAGAAAGTCTTTTCAAAGTGTTACCTTTTACTTATGCCTAAATGAATTTTGAAAGCTACCTTATTTATCTTTCTCATTGTTGCTGGTACAGGCTACTTTTTGTTCTATTTTCAGCTACATTATTGTTATACATGAGTAGGGCACCAGGCAAATGTGATTTCTGAATCAGGTCCTCTATTACTCAGTTTAGTTGTTCTTGGCTCGCAACTCATGTTACATCTCAGCTGAGATTTGGCTTCTAGTGACTGGCATGTGTGGATACCTGGCCTGCTTCTCTCTGTTGCTGAGAGACAACGTACTGTGTGCAGGCCAAATATTGTGCTTTGGAGTTCTGTCAGCTGTCTGCCATTCTCTGGGCCTCTCCAGCTGGTGCTGGTATTGCAGGAGCCACAGTCTTTTACATCTGGGCAGTGGTAGCTCTGCCTGGATGGATGGGTTTGTCCATGCTGTGCTTTGCTCAGAATTCAGTGAGGGGCAGATCCAGCAGTCCTGATCGCTCCAGGATGTGAGATGGTTTTCATCAGCTGTGAAAGGCAGTGGTTTGTGGATGAGCATGTGCTGTTTGCAATGTCTCAGCTGAGCAAGGGCGTCTCAAAGCTGTTACTTCAGTCACTTCTTGTGAGTGATGAAAATGGATTTTTTCCCCCTGAGTAAGGTTTTGTTCTTACTAAAAAGTACAAATTTAAACACTTTGTGGTTTGATATTCGAATTCTAGTAATTTTTTTCAAAAGAAAAATCCAGTAGGAGTCATTTTGGTATAATTATTTGAAAAGAGTTGCTGCACTTAATAAGTGCCTGGACTAAGGGATGTTAGAAGGGACTTCCAAGTTGAGACCCCTGCTCAAAGCAGCTTCAACAAGTATATTGCTCAGGGTTGTGTGCGGCTGAGTTTTGAATATTGATTTTATAGCCTCTGCAGACCACTCACAAGAGTTTGTCTCTCTTAGCTACGCTTTCCTGTTACATGGTTTTACACAGCAGCAGGATGCTGCCAAAGCTTTCTGAAGTCTGAACAAACCTAAACCCATCTCTCTCAGCCTTTACCAGCACACCACGTGCTCTGTCCTGTGGATCACCTGGAGAGCTCTCTGCTGGAATCACTCTGCTATATCAATGTCTGTCTTGTACTGGGGAGCCCAAAATTGGACTTCTGGTTTGATCAGTTGCTGTTACAGCTCATTCAGTTTCATGTTGTGCTGCTGACAAACTTCTCCCCGAGGTATCCCTCATGCCATCTCCTTTGCATGAGATCTCACAATCATGCAGTTGCCAGCTGTGACAGTCACTTGTACAGCATAAGCATCATCCAAAAATAAAAATGAACAGCTTTCTCCTGTTTCAGGTGCTCTTCTGATTTCCCTAAGGCCATAGACTTGCTAGATCCAGCATGTGGAATTTGGAGTTGTGTCAAATACAGGCTAAAGTGAGACTGCATCCTAAGATTTCTGGTGCAAAGAAGGAATTATTTAAGTTGTCAGCAGTGGGAGAAACAGTGATGCTTACACTGGTCATAGAGCTAATTCCTGTAAAATCCCTCTGTGTTGAAGAGACACAGAAGGAAGAGATGAAATGGATGAGGAAGTGGAAAAAGTGGAAACGGTTTACAGAGGGTTTCTTTTTAGATAAAAATACAATAGCATTATTGAAGTCAAAGAGGCTAGGCTCTGGTACTGTTATTGAAGTCAAATGAGAGACTGCAAGAGGAGAACTGAATTCACAGCATCAATTGAATTAACAGAGAGCAAAATTCTATATTTTCTATTAATGTTTATATTTAGGGTAGTTGCTGAAACCTGCCTTTCCAGCTCATGCTTTGGGTCAATAAATGCCATGGAGATGTTAACTGTATCTCCTGCTTGTCCTAGGAAGTTGAAAGCTTGTTTAGTAGTAGTCAGAAAGATGAACTGAAGCTTTTACTCAGATCAATGCCAATTATCTTTCCTTTTATACATATATTGATCACTGAAATGCACACCAGAGGGCACTAAAGATATTTGAGCTCTATGACTAATAAAAACAAAAAGATATTTTCCTCTCTTCTTCAGGAGAAGATGGAACTTTTGTGTTTCCCCCAGATGAAGCCCACCTGAAAGCTGTAGGTTAGTTCACTGGAAATTATCATTCCCCTGAGGCAACGTGGCATTGAACAAGACAATTTGTGTTATCTCTATAAAGTCATATCATTTGTCTATCTTTCAGGATATTATGAGGCTTAATTAATAGTATTTTATTCTAGTCAGGTTCTTTTACAGTCTCCATCTCCACAATATCCAAATGACTTGCACAAGCTTATTAAGTAAAGTGACTGGCATAATTACCTGTAGATATTTCTGCCCTTTGTTCACCAGAGAAAACTATGGGCATTTGTTTTATTTTAAATGTTGTTTATTCTAATAATAACAGTGTAAAGATTTTTGTATTAAAATCTCCAAAGTTTGCATATTTAATGTTGAAGTTAATCTGTGGTCAATTTGGAGAAACTTCAATATAACACAGAAAAAGCTATAGAATTTCTACTGAATTATGAAGTGCACTGATTGATATAGATGGGTATCTGACACATTCAAAAATGTTGAAAGAGCGAACAGCCTACTGGGCAACCATTAACTATCATCATTTTCTGGCTAGAAGTGGCTGTGAAATGTGTTCTCTTTGGAACAGTTTCATTAGCAGAAGACAGCTCCTTTCAGCTGACTCTTCTATTCCCTGTGTATTGGCGTTCCAGGAGTGATGGTGATGTGGCAGAGCATGGAATTGGGATGAGAGGAGGAGTTTTGGGCAACTCAAGAAGACACTGTTTCTGTCTTAAATGCCTTGCCATACTGCTGGATTTATGGCTATAAAATAGAGAAAGTTCTACTGATGTATGTGGGCTCTGAGAGCATGTATGAAGAGGGCAGATAGCTGGTGGCATAGCAGTGATGAGAACACAAGTTTTGAAGGATATGTGCTATTCAGGCAGAACAAAACTAAAGTTCAAAAGTGGATGCATCCCCATTGATGTGAAAGATGTACCTACAAATGTCTGCCTAAGTTCTGGAAACATGGGTTTTATTTCTTTTGTTCTGTGTTGTCCTGGGTGTCATTATATGATCACTAGAAAAACAGGAGAGAAATACACATACAGATTTGGTTTTGGTATGAATCCACCTTTATGGATGGGAGGCTTGTGGATAAATTATCACAAATTGGTGTATTTAAAGGTAATGATTCCATGGAAAAAACCAGTATTTATTTTAATGTAACAAAGGATGAATAAAAATAGGCACTTTTTATTACAAATTTTTATTATTAAAACTGAGTTTGCTATGACCCTAAAAACTAAAAAATATTATTCTCTGTTTAAAGTAGAAATTTACTTTGAGCATGAATGTACTGAACAAGGAATGAAGAGAAAGTGAGTAACAAGAATACAGTTATGAAAAAGGGATCAATCAGTGTTGAGGTAAAAATAAATACACTAACCAGTGAAATTACTCTGAATATTTTCAAGTCACTCAAGTCAAGGGTAGTGCTGTGACTGGAATATGACAAATGGAATATTTAATCCATTCTGAAGTCCTGCATATAGGAAAGTAATTGCAAATTCAGGCAAATGACATAAAACAGTCTAAGGAAGATGCTGTCAGATTAACCTGGTTGTATTGCACATTTTAATCTAAAAATTAGATGGTCTTATGTATTTAAATCAAATCCTCTATTGAGATGCAGTGCCACAAGGAAAATCTCTGTTACAGAAGGAAGAAGCTTAGTAGAGAAATTAGTAGATAAATTAGTGTGGAGTGAATGAAGAATCATCTGATAGGGATGATTTTTTTCAAGTAATGTTTTTAGGACTGATGTACTTAAGCATTTTCATTAATGTTATTAGCTGAAAATGGGGACC